ACCCACCCAACCAACCAACCACAATTCACTCTTCACTCACTCACCCAACCACTACTCACTCCTTACTCACTCACCCAACCAACCACCCACTACTCACTCTTTACTCACTCACTCACTTACCCAGTCAACCACTACTCACTCTTTACTCACTCACTCACTCACTCGCCCAACCAACCACTTCTCACTTACTCACACAACCAACCAACCAACCAACCAACCACTACTCACTCTTTACTCACTCACCCAAACAACCACTACTCACTCACTCACTCACTCACGATTACTCACTCACCCAACCACTCATCATAACATTGAACTATTCATCATTATCAATAGTCATGCACTTGCTTGACACTCACCTAGTCGCTCCTCTCTCAATAACTACTCACAACTTTAAAATGAACTAGTACTCATCATTATTAATTGTTGCACACTCACTCACTCACTCATCGCTCATTCACTCATCGCTCATTCACTCACTGCCAATTAGTCTGTGTTGTTTTTCAAATCATATTCAATCACTGTTACTTCTTCTTCACCTACATCATCAATTCAATGAGGAAGCTGACTAACCAGTTACTTCTTTGTCTTGATTTGTTTCAGAACGCAAGCTTTCACCCAATGAATTTCCGCACAATCTTTATATACAGAATTACTCCACTGCTACAAATACTTGCTTAGCATTACGGAAATGGATATTTGCTGTTCACCATGAAATCTTACTTAATGATGATGACATGGCAGTCAACTTCTTTTTCTGGCAGGTAACTGCATTTCATACTTTTCTCTAATAAAATTTAAGTGTGAAGCTTGATTTCTTCATATTTTTTATTCCAGCCATTGTAGTATTTTTACGACTTTCTGTCCTTTCATTTTGAGTTACTTTTCATCAAGTATTTTATTCAGTCGTACTCTGAGATTTGTCTCCTTGCATTGTGGGACACTCTAGTTGGGATCCAATCAGTGCATTTGCAACAAATACAGTTCCACAGAGCCATATCTCGTACATGCCTGGACCAATCAAGTTTAAACTTCACACACACATCACTCATTGGGTTATACATGTATATATGTATGTATCTCACATCTATAATACATATAAACAGGGACATTGACAATGACTTGTTGCCTCTTTCATTGATTATGCTGACATTTGTGTTTATTTGCCAGGCTGTGGATGACATTGGCAAAGGAAGAGTAAAGCCTGCTAATAGTTTATTACAACTAAAATCTTTACAAGAAAATCACAAAAAATTACAGGTGAGAGACTGTTGAACATATTATTGGTGTTAATACAGTGAATCTTAACTGTAGTTTTCAATTTCCACAGACTAAAATGTCTGCCACTATGATTTCAAACCTTTTGCCACCCATAGCCATCTAAATAAAGTCAAATTATTATAATTTCATTGTTATACCCACACCGTAACCTTTTGTGTGCTACAGTCAACTATTTTTGTCTCAATCTTCTGAAGGAAATTTTGTAAATTTGTGATGAAAAGAGGAAACTGGTGGTGAAAAGGTGAAGAGACAATTATGATGTACCATCATTAATAAAACACACTCATTCTACACCTTTGCAACTGCATATTCAGTAGACATTTATAGTATTTTGTTTTTGTTTCGTGCTGGCCTGAGAAGTGTACATTTTGTTCATAAAATTCAGCTCAAATTTGATTGGCCAGAAGATTCAGTTGTGACACCCCTTAACAATAAACAAAATTCCCAGTATTGCACCTGTGTACAGTGAAGGTGTTTTTGTGCAATTCAAGAGAGGCATCCAATCAAGTATATTAATTTGTGTAACATTGCTGCAATATGATGACTCAGCAGTTTATAATGAGAGTGAGGATGTAACAATTATTTGGGTCGCAACGTCCAGCTTGTAAATCTTATAATTCATGCATATTTATAATATCAAATATGTCATGTGAAACCTAAAACTTCATCAAAGAGTGCAACATTAAATTGAGACAATTAACAGTTAATCCTTGGATGCTTTTCTAAAAACTATTGAAGGATTTTGAAATCATGTGTCATTTTACTCTCAGTATTTACATCTGGCGAGAAGTCTTGATGAGTACAATGAAGTGGCCTTTCCTCACTGTGCGTGTGATGCCAGAAAAAATGGACATGTGATAGCTATCTGTAGTATTAACAGTCTCAAGTTGCAGGCGTGTTCTGAAGATGGCCAACTCGAGGTAAGTAGGTTTGACCACTTAGACGGCTCCATCTTTATACTGTGAAAATTGTTATTCTCAGACCTCAATTTTTTCAACATTTCCCGGTTTACTATATTAGAAGAATTTTATTCTCTATCACTACCTAATTTATTATATATCTCAGGAAAATTTTATGATCACTATTATAATAACTTTTGAAATAATTTTTAAGATTCCTCCAATATACATGAATGTTCTTTCAAAGCTTTCTTTGATTTTGTTTAAACTTGGTACATACTTTGCACACAATAGGAACTTGACACATGTCATTTTATTTTCTGATCATCATTTTATGTCCTAATGGTGGCCATATTTATGACATGCCTGGACTCATTAAGTAATTCTGACTTCGCATATTATATCAATTTACATCAAATCTGTTGCATCATTAGTGTCAGTCAGCATAAATAATAAAGTCATGAATATCATACACAGAAGAAAGGAAGACTCACCTGACCTGTTAAAATATAATACATTTTGAGAGATTGCATGCACTTATCACTAAATGTATGTACACATGCACTCCAATATACTTTTACATTTACATGTCATGACTTGTAAATTTAGGACCAGTGTTATTGATCAATGTTCAACATGATAATATGCACATATTTAATTTAGGACTAGTATTAATGATCAGCGTTAATAACATATTTAATTTAGGACCAATCACCAGAGTTTACATGGGATGAGATTCAGCGATGGGAGATTGATGACGAAGGAATGGCATTTTGTTTTGAATACGAGAAACCAGGAAAGAGGCCTCGATGGGTCAAAGTTTTCACAGCATATGTAAGTCAAGTGTACAACCCTCTCTCCTTCATTGAAGCTATTTGAACTGCTGATGAGGTGATTTATATTTGATACTTTTGTTCAATATTTGTTATCTGAAAGTTTAACAATAAGATATTTCATCTGTCTTGATTTAAACTAAAATTTTACTACTGTTTTGGGGCATAATACTAGGTGGAAAAATAAAAAACCTGTTTCCATGGAAATGATTTTGATACTCTTAGAACAAAATCCCATCCAAAGCCAATCCAGTAACTTGAATTTTGTAAAATTTCTATTATCTCCATTGTTACCGAACTTCAAAGTGATATTTGGTTTGTATAGTGTGTACCATGTATACTATACATATAGGTACTACAGGTGGACCTCTCTCAAATTTGGACATTTTGTGATGATAACTTCAATACTCTAATTGAAATGTGCATTACTAACAGTAGAGCTATCTCGACTGAGAGACTGTTTGTTTAACACTTTGAGCGTCACATAAAATTTTCGCTCAAAATTGGGTAAATTTGTTCAAATTTTCTGTAATTTTCACTAAATTCAATCTTAATTTTGGACTAAACAGACAAAAAGTTTATATTTCTGCCAACATTATCTGTGAAAAAAAGCAGACTACAAATGAAAATATTTTGTGGATTCCTGAAGTTTACTTTAGCACTCAGAAGGTTAAAGTAAAATCTTCAAATTATACTGTCCATGTTTAAACATGGTAGGCATATTACAAATAAATACTGTATTTACATTTATAAGTTCCAAATAATTACATCTGTTATACCATATGAACTGTTTTGTCAGAGCAGTTATCCTAGTACATACATGTACATACCAAGAACTAAAGTCACTCTTTCTGAAATTTCATATATGGATCTTTCATGGCACAAAAAATAACTTAAAATTGTATATCCATTGCAGTATAACTACATGTTTGACTGTTTTGAGCGCATCACTGCAGAGATCAACTGGATGAAAGAAAATCAAGTTACTGAGGAAGAAGATGATGATGAGGAAGAAGCGGACGATGAAGAGGAAGATGATGAAGATGAAGAAGATGAGGAGGATGAAGAGTTAATTGCCATGCCAACAAGGCCAGTAGGAGCAGTCGGTAGCAAGGTGAGCTTTTATACCAAGGTGCCAAAGAGGAATTTAGGAATTAATTATTTTTATGGGTTGCGTAAATGAATTAATGAATATGGAAAGATAGCAACACAAGTAGTTCGTCTGATTGCGACACATTAATCTTCATTTCGTTGATCGCCATGTTTTTTCCCCGCCAAATTTAGGTGCAACATTTTGCAAATTGGTATTTATTTATCGTTTTCAAACCATAGTGACGTGATTGCCCATTGGCTGAGAGCTTCAGAATTTCATGAAGTAAACCCACGTAAATTTTTCCATATTTATCAAAAACCAAAATTAACAATTTGAATTTAATATAAAAAGAAATACATAATAATTGCAAAAAGGTTGCTACAAAATGTTGGTGGAAATTTTTGTTGTTGATTTGGATTACTCTATTCTCTAATCGATTATTCACTCTGACAATAGTCAGTGGCACCTAGAATGTCAAATTATAATAATTTTGGTTTATGAAAATTTCAATCAAGAATTTGTGAAATATAATTTCCAAATTTATTTTTGTAGGCTTTTTCTTCTCGGAATATTTTTGGAAGATTGAAAAACAACGCGACGATGCAGAAAGATGTCTTTGAGGATATAAACGATGGTGATCTTTAATTATTCTGAATGTGTGATCCAAGCCTCCAATCAGAAGCTTGAACTTGTGTCATGTGACATAAGAGAACCAATCAGATGGTTGCAATCTGGCAAAGTAACAATTAGTTTAGATTATTTTTCCCCTGTACATGATTAAGTGTGTTATATACCCGGACAGGTATATATTTTGTAACTAGCCCGAAGACAACCTTTTTTTTTCACCAGTAGAAAAAACTTATTTAGAAATACCTTATTGCAAAGTTTTGTTTTGTTATCGTTTATATTTCTTTATCCTTTTTTTTTTTGTAGTAAATAATGCCAAGCTTGTTAAGAAGGGTCATCACATCATGATTAATGATTGAGTTTATTACAGTTGTGTCATCATATACATTGTTAAGGTGGAACTTGTCGTAATTACATTAATATGGTTTTGCTATGTTACGTCTTTATGCTGGCACCCATCTTGCCAAAAATATATTTTGTCAAGGTCTATACTAGATGCAAGATGCCAATATATACCTAGTCCATCTCTCTGCATTGGCAGTCATCTTTGCTGATATTTATTTTATCCGGGATTTGTACTAGACAATGCCAATTTTGTTTACGTTATCAATGTATCACAAACCTATGTTAATCTACAACCTCGTGGTACAAGGTGGTTTATAAATAACAGTTTTGTTCTCATGAAAATTTATAAATTTATAATTCCTATATAAATGACTGACTGCTTTGTCAGTCTCAAAATATTATGACATATGTATTTGAATCATTGTTTAGATGTGTAGATAGTAGAAAGGTAACGAATGCCATACTACTTGTAAATACTGGTTTTGGACTATACGGTTGTCACAAAAATATAATTTTTCTTTTTTTTGTCACTATGTATCTCACAAATGCTCATTACAACATTATAATAATCTAATTAGCGCTAATGCAGCCTCTTATCCATTATTACAATTGAGGGTCAAAGGAAATAAAGTTGAGCTTTCTTTTTTTTTTATTTCATGAAAATTATATAAAATATGTTCATTTTAGTGAAAGTATAGATTTACATGAATTGTCTCTACCCTCTGGATAATAAATGCAAAACTAACAATTAAATGTACAGAATATTTTAATTTATTTCCAGGAGTCATTTCATACTTGTTTTTTAGGAGTCAAATAAGGATACACTGTGATATTGAGGATCTGTTATCTATCAGCGATCCACAAATCTTGATTGCTCCGCATCTCAAAACAATCAGTTCTGTATTTTAGACACACCAAGTACGTCGCACCTACACGATGCATTATTTACCTACAAAACGCTTCTGTGATGTTAAAAATGACAAATTTCATTGAAAGCACTGTTGTTGAAAGCGACAACTGTATTTAGTTGACCACTGTGACAGCTTTCCTTTCATCTGTTCTACCCCTCACAGAAGTGCTTCATGGCCATAGAGGGCACTACTCATAGGAAATCTATACATGTATTTATGAAGTTGTTAATATTAATCATTTGAATTAACAGCTGTGAAAAACCTGACTGGACTGTGTGACTGGCATCATTATTTCCTCGTTTTGACAATCGTATTGATGTCACAGTGTTTGTGCTGTTATTGTAAAGAAATTTACAAATATATAATTTAGGGTGTGTGTTTCTAATATGTCCTGGCAAATTAGAGACTTGTTGCTCTGTACAATGCAGCTTTTGTATAAGGTCTTGCATCACTTTGCCACAGTGACAGAGTCAACATGTCTTCTTATAAATCAACTTTAATATCTTAACTTTCAAAGTTTGGTGGTGTTGTTCAGGCTCCCTCACTATATAAAATGACAGACATATTGATGCTATGCGACCAGCAGTTGTATGCAAATTGATGCGCTGTGAAATGTACGGAAGCTGCCCTGCATGTCACTACAGAGTTGTTAAATCATGAAAATGTCATTCTTTTTTGGAAAGCTGCATACAATACATGGATAATCAGTTGGTGGGCAACCAGATTTTTTTTTTGTAATTTGATCTGTACATAGTGAATGTGAGGTTTCTATAAATCTGAATAGTGATGTACAATTACTAGCACATTTCTAGGCAATATTGGAATGAGGTTTGGTGAAACAATGGAAAGATTCTTGGTTAGTTAGTTCTAATATGCTAATAAGGATTCAAATGTGTGAAATTTGACATTTTGGCTGTTGCTAATGTAAAATAAAGTATATTCTCACAATGAGATTAAGGTTCTGCTAATTTATGCATTGCGTCAAATTCACTGAAATGTCATGTAGCTATTTCAACATGTCTGACTTTACATACGTCAGTATGCAAATGATGCAGATTTAATTTACATACACTACTGTCACAACTCAAGTTATTGACAACCCTTTACATATCTGAATGAATAATATATAAAGCTGGTAGGGGCATGAGTTGGATAATGCGTAATTTAAAGGAAAAGTCCAGGCAAATGTAGGAGTTTTTGATTCCAGTGTGCGAAGCACACAATGTCTTTTCAGTGAGTGCCTCTGTGTGTGTCTGTTCCACTGATATCTCAAGAACCAATTATCAGATTTTTAACTAGGTACTTAGATGCTCTAGGATAATGCTCAGACCTGATTAGTTTTTGGTTGATATCCATGCATATTAATTACCTAATTTGCATATTAATTAATTTTAAGCCATTTCACTTTTTTTCTAAAGAACCATCCTACAAATTTTAATG